CCTCATGTGCTGTCCGCTGCACACTCTGATTTGGTAACCCGTGAGCCTTTGTCTTGGCACTCACCCGTGACTTACCTTCTGGCATTTGCCAATTATACAGAAGCCTTGGTTTCTTCCTTTGGAGAGCAGCCTGCGTGAGTATTATTCCAGAGAGAGCAGTGCTCCCTTCTTCTTCCTTTCCTTTGTGTGAGAGTGTTGAGAGGTCCTTAGTGGAGAGAAAAGGCTAGAGGTGTGCTATAGCTTCCCCTAGAGTGGTGTATGTGAGTCTTTGTGTAGAAAGACCTGAGCCGGAGACGGAAACGATCCAAACAGTGGTATCAGAGCGAGGTTCGCCGTCTGCCGCCGTCCGCCGCCGCCGTCTGCCGCCGTCCGCCGCCGCTGTCTGCCACCGCCATCCGCCGCCGTCGATTGGAGCTCGTCGAGGGTCGCTGGAGCTGCCTGGTCGTTCGCACGAGCTCGCTGAGGTCTCTACTTGCTGAAATCGAGCTTGCCGGAACTTGAACCTCCACCATCACCGAAGGAACTCGCCATCGCCGGAATCTGCAGCTGAAGTCGCTGCCTGGAAGCTCGCCGCTTGTCGTAGAGGAGTCGCCGCCGGAGTTCGCTGTTCGTCGCCGGAGCAGAAGCTGGCATGTCGCCGGTCTTTGTTCTTCGCTGGTCCGCAAGTAGCAGAGAGCTGGCCTCTCTTGCATAGAAGGAACGCAGGGGACCGTGGCTAACTTGGACTGCTGGAGCAGTCTATTTGGGTTCTTGGACTTGTGGGCCTTATTCTTTTGGGCCGCTAAAGCTGCTGGTTTAATGCTAAACTGGAGCTGGGCTGCTGTTGATGGGCTGGAGCTGGGCTGCTGCTGATGGGCTGGGGATGGACTGCTGACCTGCTGGAGTTGCTGGGCGCCGGTCAACCGCCGCCGGTCAACGCCGGTCAACTGCCGGTCAACGCCGGTCAACAGTCAGTCAACATCTCAGAAAATCCCAATTTTTTTTTAAATTGGGTAGGTAAGGTCGAAACGCTCTCCTAGGGTTTCGCGAAGGTAAGTTTTCTTTAAACTTCTCATTTGTTATATTCCGGTTTTAATTTAATTTAATTTATTCCCCCTCCCCGCGGGCCGCCGGTTGATTTAATCCCGGCCGCCAACCCCCCAGGTACGTACTAAACTCTCTCCTTTGTGGTAAACCCTCTCCTTTGTGGTTGATTGTTTTAGTTGATTAATTAAATTACTAAGTGTTATTTAACTTAATTGTTATGCGTAGGGGTGGTTTATTGGGTGGTAGGGGTAGAATTGATTAAATTTAATTTTCTGCCCGGAATTGTTTAATTGCCAAAATGTCCAATTTTTGCTATGTGTTGCATGCTGCCCGGGGTTATTAAAGTGATTACTTTATAGCCCAGGTTGGATTATTTTCTGTCAATTCTGTCTGTTTAGCTTTGTGTTCCTTTTGTGGTTGATACCATGGCTGCGAATCAGTATGGTATGCTTCCATTTAATGGAAAAACAGATTTTGATATTTGGAAACAGAAAATTAAGTGTGTTTTAATACAGCAAAAAGTTTTCAGAGCTGTCACTGGTATTTTCCTTGAATTAGAAGATAAGGCTAAGCAAACTGAAATGAACGAAACTGCTTGTTCTACTATTTACTTGAATCTGTCTGATTCTGTGCTTAGGAAAGTGGGTATTCTTGAGACTGCTAAGGAGTTGTGGGAAGAAAATGATAAACCAGCTCTCTGTGAAGCTGAATTAGATAGTGAGGAAGGTAGAATAGGAATAGTTGCTCCCTTAGTCTTGGTGTGCACAAAGAGACCGCCGGAAACCGACGTCCGGCATACCTGAGCCGAATCCGGCAAGACTGAAACGGATCCATAACAGGATCCATAACAGAGGGAGAGGTTTACTTATTCACTTTGATATGAGATTTGAAGAGTTTGGGGTTTTTTAGCATAAAACGGCCAATCCAAGCAACGAAATAGATGCTAGTGTGCTTCCTACTTGCATCGAAAGAAAGAACAACAAGATGCAGATTTTACAATTTAGGGTTTAGAAATAGATTTCAAAATAGTCATGGGAACAATTGGATACTAAAGTTGGATGATGGAGCTCTGCTCATGTCTCTTCCTTGATTTCTCTGTTGCGGTTCCCAAGCTTGAGAGGTGCAGCGCTGGTTGCTGTTTGAGTTTGAACGGAACTTAGGATGGTGGATATGTTTAATGATAGGTTTGCAAGGACCAAATTAGAAATACTTGGAAAAATATGACATCGCAAACACACCCAATAACTAGTGCCATGTGTGGCATGCACTTCCTAACGTTGAATTCACATTTTAAATACTTGTATATGTGGGATGTACCACTTATAGATCCAGTCCGTTCGTGTATGGTGAGTAGCGTACATCCAAACATAAGTGATGCCTATGAATTTTTCAAATTTCCTGATATTTTATGCTCAATTGGCACTTCTATTATGCTCATAATAAAATGAAATGTTATACTAACAATATTTGATTGCTACTGCATTAACGTAAATCTCAACAAACAACAACAATTCTTGGATTTATTAAAAACTAGTATCCTCCATGTAGGATGCACCGGACAAAAATGATTCTATATTATATTTATGATCTAATACACGTTGAAAATATTACTACGGATCTAAACTATATTTATTCGAACAACATATAACTACAATCAGGTTAAAAATCTTATTATAGAAAATGTTATAACAAATTATAAATAATTATTACAAAAAAACTTGAAAACCCGTAAACCCTTAAAATTATATGGTACATGTGAAACAAATTTTAAGTATTTACTTAAAATTGATCGCAAATAATAATAATATATGAAAATATTGGGTACAATCTCTAAATACGAATCCTCTAATTCTTCACTTGCAATTTGATATGAGTATAATTAAAGAATTTAATTTAAATTAAATCTCTAATTTTTCAAATATTTGAACGTTCTTCGAATCTTCGAATCTTCGTTCTTGAGATCTTCAAATCTTCGAATCTTCGTTCTTCAGATCTTTATATCATCTTGAATAAAGAATTCAGCTTGAAGGGCCCCAGTTTTCAAGTGACTTGATCTTCAACAAAAGGACCATTTTATGGCTTGATCTTTTGTTTAAGGGCCTCCCGGGATATATGACTTGATCTTCAATTGAATCTTGATTCTACCTTCATATGAATATCTTCAAATCTTCAAAGATTCGTTCTTTATATATATCTTCGTATCTTCAAAGCTTTGTTCTTCAAATCTTTGAATCTTCAAGCTTCGTTCTTCAGATCTTCGAACGTTGTTCAGCTTTTGGCTTTGTTTGATTAAGAATACATGAAATCACAAAGGATTAATCATATATTCTTGAAAAAAAATGTGGCTTGATATCTTCTGATGCTTCGGAATCCTTCAGAGCCTTTCGGGAGTTCTTTAGAGCTTTTCTGCAGCGTTTCTTCGTTTGGAAGTTCTCTCTCCTTTCTCTCAACTGAGACCCCTATTTATAGGTGTGAAGGGGGTAAAAATATGGCTTAGGGTTGCATAAATTCGTCCATGCCCCATGGGCCTGAATTAAAATGGGCTTCAGGCTCTATTTGCTTGCATTTAACAGCTAGAAAAATTAGCACTTGTTCGATGTATCTGGACAATCTTTTTAACAAAGTTCGCGGCCGTTTTCTATGCATACAGACGGATTTCTTAACCAGATTCATTGCTCTCTTCATTAATTGGATCATGGCTCTTACATATTGATCCAATATTTGATAATGGGCTCAAAATTAGTAGGGTTGGTCCATTCTTTTAAAGATTTAATTTATAATTAAATTAATTGGATATTTTAATGTCCCAAATTAATTCAATCATTAAATTTTTTATTGAATGGATCCATACTAATATTTTGATAAGGCCCAACAACCATCACGAGCAACTCAGTACATTCTGACGGTGGCCAAATAGCGTTCAAAAGAGACCCAATAAGGCGTATAATAGTCTGATAGCACTTAAACGAGTTCAATAATATTAAGGACGATCATAAAATATTAAGTCCAAAATATTAAATAATTTTCAATATCCACAAATGCCCCCTCGAGACTTGGTTGAATATTGAGGACGAGAGAAAAGTAAGTCTCGAAAATGGCTCACATTATCACCCTGCTTAAATAACTCTATTATGCAGCCCAAATATCAATAGGGTGGAATGATAATTACTTCCCCGTATCCATTTTAATAGAGCCTGAAGCCCATTTTAATGCTACTATTGTGCTACTCTTCAATTGATTTCATCATGGCGTGAAGTCCATTTTATCATGAAGTAGCACAAAATGGATCTATTGTGCCACTTCAATTGATTTCATCATGGCGCCATTTATTGAAGAGGACGAAGTTTGATTGATTGCCGACTGTTGGTGCCGTTTGGCTCTTTGTTGCGATGACATTGATTTAAGAATTAGGCCGATTGCCGATTGTCGGTGCTGTTTAGCCCTTTGTTGGGATGGCACCGATTTAAAGAGTTAGGCCGATTGTCGATCGCCGGTGCTGCTTAGCCCTTTGTTGGGATGACACCGATTAAGCTGATTCTCGATCATCGGTGCTGCTTAGCTCTTTGTTGGGATGGTACCGATTATTATTATTATTATTATTATTATTATTATTATTATTATGAACTAAATCACCTGTGGAGTTCCATAATTTTCATAATAATAATTATAACTAAATATTCTTACACATTATCTTTAATAATTAAATCTTGGAAATAATTATTAAAAATAATGTTATAAATATTATGTTGAACGTACACTTAAGCTTCATTTCTCAATAAATTTCCAACATGGTTTACCGGGAAGCTATACCATAATATTAAGAAAAGTGACTTCAAAATTTTTAAATTTGCTCATAAGGGGCTTTGTACACGAATAATTGTAACACATTTACACGTGAGATCTTGATGAAAGTTTTAAATTAAAGGTGATTAATGCACTGAATTTGAATATGATGAGGTAGGAGTAACCGAGTAACTGTGTATAAACATGGGATATATTACTTCGTACGTACCAAATAAACTACAGATTTCCACAAGTTAATACTCCAATATTGATATGCTCAATAGTGAAAGAGTAACATAACTTTGGAGTTAACCCCATTGAGGCATAGCGACAAAGCATTGTTGTTACATATAGTGGACTACAATTAGAATATATAATTGTTTTTGATGAACTTAAAATTAAACGCAAGATAATCCTCAGAAAGATCATATGGCACATATAGTGGACTACATATAGTGGGCATCATCTTGAAAAGCAGCAGCTAGTACGTCATGGACATCTGTAAGGACATGGATACTGATCTACCACTTGAACTATTTGCCTGTCAAAGTACCAGTCTCCAAATAGGCTGGCAATAGTCTATCCAAAAGAACATAAAAAATCATATCAAATTTAAATCTTTAAATAAGAAATCTCCGTTAAAATTAATTAATTTGTCTTTAACGTAACCATTAATAATGCTAAGTTAAAGGTACACTTTCTATATATGATTTATATCGCACTATTATTAGGCCCACGTAAATACCTTATTAGTCCCTGCAGCTCGACTATTCCAAATATCCTTTTCAACTTGTGTATGAGCAAATGGAGAGGTAACCAGGAACCCTTTGGAAGAAGTCTTGCTTTGTTTGGGTAGAACTGTGAGAAGCTCCAACCGAAGATCTACAGTTAAAAATATGCAAGTATATTTATTCGCATAACTTAATTACCAATAAACTTACTACATTGCTTAATATTTAAAATACTATTTAATTAATGTAACTATTGAAATGAAATTGTTAACCCCCAAACCTTGTGATGCTTTAATTTGAGTCGGCGTGCAACTCAAATTTTTAACACAATGAGTAAGGTCCATTGATAAAGTATATTGGATCTGCAATATTAATAATAAAAAAATAGTTACACAACAATAAACATATGTCTTCAAGTAAGCATGGTTGCATTTTCTTGGAGGCAATGAAAATTGAACTAAGATTATTAATTTAAGGAAACACTGTCAATTTAGTTCTCGTATCACCAAAAAGTCAATTACGTCCTCTTACTATAAAAAAACAATCAAATCCTCGAACTTTGAAAAAACATTCAATTGAGTCAATTAGGAGGTTATTTGTCATGGCAACATGTCACTACTTACTGATGTAGATCACACGTGGTGGTCCATGTGCGCGCTACATCATTGGTAAATGGCTAACTAGGCTTCCACGTGTGCCCCACATGAGTAAAGTAATTGCCGACTGGGCTGTCATGTGTGTGCCATGTCAGCGGGTGACTAGCTGACGTGAGAGATAACTTATTAACGGACTGATCAAGTGAACCTTTTTACAATGTTTGGGTATTTTATTGATTTCCTTAAAAATATAAAGACTTCATTGACTTTTTCGTGATAATGCGGTGACCAAATTGACAATTTTCCCTTAATTTAATATATCAACAAATATCATCAAATTAACAAATCATTTTTACTTTTCTTTTATTAAAACAATATTTTCGATTTCACAATTTTACTTCCTAGCTAGTTAATTAATTAGTCTATCTTTGTGGATTTCAATCTTTTATGTACGGTTTATGATGATTGACTTATAATAAATAAGTCTTACCCGATAATAATATATGCTTATGTTCTAAAAATTTAAGTTTACATATTTATAAACAAAATTAGAAGTTAATTAGTTCTATTCACTCGATAAAATAATTTTGAAAATGATTTAAACTTAAGCGTGATAGAGATTAAAAGTGGGAGTAGTATTTAAGCAAAATATCTTACAAAAATTAAAATTATTTTTAAAATTACTAGTATTGTTTTGTTGAAAGGGGAGACTAATATTGCTTATACTTAATCAAATAATGGTACAAAGTCTCAAATACAATTAGAAATAGAGATATTACCCGAAATAGGACTAAAAAGGTTTGAAAATTCCAAAATAGGACTGTCATGTTTTTATTCCCAAAATAGGACTAATTACTGTCATGTTTTGGCAGTACCAGGCTTCAAACATGACAGTATTTTCCAAACTTGACAGTAATTACTCCTATTTTGGGAATAGAAAATATGTCAGTCCTATTTTGGAATTATCAAACTGTTTTAGTCCTATTTCGGAAACTTTCCCTAAAATATATCGTAGTGTCCATACAGTAGAGAAAGATCTCAAGTTTTTTGCGACAAACTAATTTACTAAACCTTATATAAGTATTAATTAAATTACTCATATATTCAAAAAATATTAATATACTATCTGGTTAATTGCACAAAAAAATAGAAATATACATTTATCAATATATTTTATATATACTCATACAAAATTGCAACACAATTCAATATGAATATGATATATATACTGCGTATCAATATAATGTGTGGACTGTGGATATGATGTAATTTACTTATAGTGCATTTATTTATGGTGACAACTCCGGTACCTTTCTAAAAACAGGGGTACCGTATCTAGCATTCATTTGATTGGACCACATCACTTTATCAATTTTAATTTAGATTTAAATAATTCAACTGCTACCTTTTTATTGGTCCATGTGGGCAAAGGTATAATATGGTACCTTTTGGGTACCATATATAGAAACTACCTTTATATATTTGAATTGGTAAGATATATGACTGCTCGAGATAGATTCAAACCTGAACCCTATCAAATGCTGACATTAGGAAGAAGATGGGTGTTTTGATATCTTCCTGTAAATTTGGCGGGAAAAAACACTGCAAAATTTAACAGATATTATTCCTCTCAAACTATTTTTTCCCATCAAACTTTAAATAGTATTGATGATCGAATAAACAAGGGAGTTTTTTGTAAAGAGATTGAAACTTATCGGCCAGATAATTACTATATGCTTACTTTAAAAACAAATCCGAGATATACATTTGAAAACTTACCAGTTCTGCATTTAATCTTGCAGTACAAGATTCGGGCAGCACATCTTTTGACCTCTGTAACCAATGAAAAGCGAGTATAAATTTTATGAAGTGAAAATTTAAACACATAATTTAGATATTTATCTAGAAACAAATAAAACAATATTAATTACAAAATTTACAAGATAAATACATGTGTGATAGTGTACGTGTGGTAGAGCTAGAAGATTACATGTAGTGTTACTAAGCCCTCAAACATTGATAGGAATCCATTTCCTTGAATATGATCTTTCCTGTTCAAAAGTATAAACGTAATGTATAAGGAATAAGGATTATTAAGAATCTTTAAAATTCATAAAATTTATTTAGATAATGAATTACTAGTATGACATTTGATATTTGAAATGTAACAAACTTACGAAAGAAAGAAATAACCCCCATCACAAAAGCACTTTACTCTCGAACTGGATGGAAACAGATTTCGAAATCTATCACAGTATATGGTTGTGGCAACTCCACCGGCTGAACCACCAACCAAAAGAGCCTATAAAAAGATGAGTTTCAAAATACATATAAGCCCAATGGTGTTTATAGATTACAAACATGCTTTCACATTACTATACATAATTAGCATGCATAATTGGCAAAGCTTAATTGCCATATGCATGTAAAGAAGAATCTGTACTTAAAAGCAACTAATACAGTAATACTTTTAGCAAGTAAAGAAACATACTCCATATGTCCCATTTTACTTAGCCAAACTTTTCAAGTCAATAGCGTCTAATTTTGATTGATTATATGTTTATATAGTGAATGTATTGATAATATGAAAATGACATGAAAAATGTTTTTTTGTTAAAAAATACTATCATAAAAGTATAAAATTATTAAATTTTGCATAAATATATTAGTTCAAATAATTGGTCAAAGTTTACCATCTTTGACTGGAAAAGTCAAATGTGGCTAAGTAAATTGGGACAAAGGTAGTATTAATCATGCTTAGTACGTAAGTTAAATACAAAATAAAATAGTAATGCATACATTCTTTGCATTTCCCATCCCTTTTTGCAACAACTCTTGCATGGCAGCAGCGAAAACGACCCTTCCTCTAAAATAAAGTTTTGTACCCTGCAACAAGTTCAACACATCTAAAAACATGCTGTATGTGTAGATGCATATCTGATGTCTTTAATGTATGTCAGTATGTGTTATCTCTCCCATATCCAGTCTTCAAAGGAAGTCAGTTTTCTTTTCTGCTAAATCTTTCTAAAGAATATAATCAAGAACAAAAAAAAAATAAGGAGAAGGTGAAAGAATTGAAGGTGATGAGGGCTATCTTAATTCTTACACTTGGCGTTGTTATTTCAGAGTTTCCTGTGAATGAAGATGCATCACAATATCGAATAGCAACTTTGTTCCAATCAAAAAATTCTGCACGATTTTCATGCAATAAACAAAATTAAAGCCTCTCATCAGATCAAGAGCAAGAATATAAAATACAGAAAAGAGAGGAAAATGAAGAAAAGCTTATATGGAATGGTTTGAAAATGTATATTTACCAGGATTGTTCTCCTTGTTAGAACTTAGAATAGCATTAAAGGGCATTGGTTTTGCTGGCGAACCCACACCTTTAGTGTTGATATAATCTTCACAGTCACTTACATTCTTACACCATCCGCCCCCCTACGTACAATTTAATACAATATTTCACTTATTTACTTATCTTCCTCATCAAAATTATACTACACTAAGTTGTCTAAGTAGTACGTAGTACATCATAATCATAATACATTATGGGGCACGTACAATAGCACATAAATAATGCACTAATTTGTTACCGTACGTATTAGGAATATATATGTGATACTTGATTAAAGAGAAAAAACAAAGAGAAGGTAGGTAGCTTACAGGAAGATATACAACCCAATTTTCGACCCCTTTGCCGAATCCTGGGACGTAATAGTATGCTGCCTTATTCCCTCCCAAGCAAACTACATACATTGAATTCAAATGTTAAATATACAGTCTGTACAATAATTAATGATCGAATTTAATGATCAACTTCTTCAACGTGATCGAATAAATTATAAATAGTAGATAGTATAACATTAATTGAACAATTTAAAAAATAATAATTAAACTTGTTCAACTTAATTCATCGTGTACATATACATTATACACGTACCTGCTCTATTGTCGATAGTTACAAAAGTTGGACTGACCACGTCAGCATCACCTGAGTTGAAAAATAATTATCATTTAACAATACCAATTAATATCATTACGGGCTCACAAGTCACACCTCCATACATATGTTCCTTTAAATTACATATATTGAATAAATACGTAAATGGAATCGTTTAATTGACTTATAAACACATTTTTTCTCCGTTTTATCACATACATATATACCGACATGCATGCTTATCATTGTTTTATATATGTAATTGTCTATAGAAATAATAGAATACCTAAACGTTTAGAAAATCTCACATTCGGAGTATAAGTAATAATATACTAGTACAATATTTTATAAAATGAAAGGTGTGTTTAGGAGTTGGTTTTTGAGGGAAGGGAAAAGTATGTGAGAGTTGATAACCCTTCTATTACGTATTTCTTTTTGGGAATTTAAAAAATTGGAGAGGATGATTTTGGAAGGCTTTTATAACTCTTCAAAACCATTCAAATGTTCAATTTTTAAGTTCCACCAATTTGAAAGTTTTTAAGAGATAACAAAATAAATAATAATTTTAACTAAATTAAAAATGCATACAAGTTCAACTATTTGAATTCGATATATATCTTAAACGGTTTTAATATAATTATAATTTTACGACCGAACCCAAATGATACTAAGATTTTTTTCACTTCCTCTCCCCTTCTTCACTCATGGCTAATCTTCAAATCTTTCAGTTCCTCCTCCCTCCAAACTCCCAAAGACACCCTAAAGAAATAACAAATCAATTGGATCACCTTAGCTTTATAATATGAAGTGTCTTACCAGGAGTAGGAGCAGGAGTAATAGGACTGGGAGTTGGACCCACTGAAATTTTTTAAAGGGGGAAGCAAGTCATCATAATCAAAGTCATAATAAGTGTTAACTTTGATTACTTTATGTTTCCAATTGAAACTAGAGTAATAATTACTACTACCATATATACGAAGTTAATGTCTTACCAGGGGAAGGAGGAATAAGAGCAGGAGGTGGGGGGCTCACTGAAATTAAATAAGGTTTCCCAAAACAAAACCTGTCAGTCTTACAATTTCATGGATGCACTCATCATACGTAGTAATACTTTATTATCTTGTCTCTTTTTAGTTAAACATACTTTTCCAGGCTAGGCATGGACCCGGTTCGGGCCGCCCGGCCCGGGACCGGCCCGGCCCGCCACTGTGCAAGCCCGGAACCGGCCCGGTTCTCGGGTCCGGGTCCGGGTCGGGCCTAGGCCCGGTGGGGTGGCCGGGTCCGGGCTCGGGCCTTGAATTTGGCGAACCGGCCCGGCCGGGTCGGGCCCGGGCCCGGGCCGAATTGATTTTTTTTTAATTTTTTTTTCTTTTTTTGGGGTTAGCCAAGTTGGGCTTGATGGTTAGGAGGGGTTTGGGGGGTGTGGGGGTGAGTGGGGGGGTTAGGAAAGCAAAAAAAAAAAAAAAAATTATAACCGAACCGGAGGCCCGGCCCGCCCCGGCCCGGACCCGGACCGGACCCGGTGGCTACCCGGGCCGGTCCCGGGCCTTCCTTCCCAAAAAAAAAGCCCGGCCGGGCCTGGCCCGGAACCGGAACCGGCCCGGCCCGGGTCCATGACTATTCCAGGCGATGTGAAATTTTGACTAATAACATCATTTTCATATGTGTAAGTACTAACAATACAAAAATGATATAGAAATATTTTTATTATTAATATTATCATAAAAGAAAAAATTTAAAGTTTGCAAAAAATAAACATTGTACGACAGTATTAGATATTAAAACGGTTGATCAAAAGTTTACCTTTTTAACTAGAAGAGTTGTTAACTAAATAGGGAATCACAAGGAGTAAACATATACGATAGTATTTGTTGAGCTGTGTTATCATGCGCACCGTGGGATGGTTGTATGGTATACGAACTGGTTTACTCCTTGTGATTCCCTATTTAGGATGTTTTCTTTTGGACTGTTTTCAGTCCCAGACCAGACCAGACCAGACTTAAACAGACCAGACCAGACCAGACCAGACTTAAACAGACCAGACCAGACCAGACCAGACTTAAACAGACCAGACCAGACCAGACCAGACTTCCGTAGTTATAAAATACACAGAGACCAGACGTTACCAGACCAGACCAGACCAGTTCAGACCAGACCAGACTTAAACAGACCAGACCAGACCAGACTTAAACAGACCAGACCAGACCAGACCAGCAAATTTCAGTCCAAAAGAAAACATCCTAAATAGGGAATCACAAGGAGTAAACCAGTTCGTATACCATGCAACCGTCCCACGGTGCGCATGATATACCTGGGAGAGCGAAGAAGCAGTTCGTATATTTTGGCTTTGTTATTTTTTATTTCTCCTTTTTTAAAAATGTTAATAATTTTTTTATTTTTGATCCGATTTTTATAAAATTTATATCAAAATTTTTTATTTTTCATGATCTTTCAAATGAGACCAATATTGTCTATGTAATTTTAACATATTAACATTTGCGTGTAAAAATATGTAACTTTACGTGTTAAAATATGTAACTCACGTTCAGTCAGGCCAAATGCAACTCGTGTGTATAAATATGTAACTCTACGTGTAAAAATATGTAACTTTACGTAAAAAAAAATATGTAACTCGCGTTGAGACAGGTCAAGTGCAACTCATGTGTATAAATATGTAACTCGCGTGTATAAATATGTAACTTTACGTGTAAAAATATGTTACTTTACGTGTAAATATATGTAACTCGCATTCAGGCAGGTCAAATGCAACTCGTGTGTATATATATGTAACTCGCGTGTAGAAATATGTAACTTTACGTGTAAAAATATGTAACTCACATGTATAAATACATAATACGATAAATTTTTTATATACACAATTTTAAGATAAATTGTGGATTACACAATTATTTTTCTGTATTAAATTTAGTTCGATTTTCCTTATAATCCAATACTCATTAATATAATAGTTTGATAATTTCTTAAAATTACATAAGCAATATTGGTCTCATTTGAAAGATCATGAAAAATAAAAAATATTGATATAAATTTTATAAAAATCGGATCAAAAATAAAAAAGTTACTACCATTTTTTAACAACAAAAGCAATAAAAAATAAAGAAACCCACAATGCTCCGTCGTTTTGCAACCGGGCGCACCATCCTCATGGTGCGCCGGTTGCACGATATAATTTGCGGGAGTAAACGTATACGATAGTATTATTGTTGAGCTGTGCTTGGTGTACATTTTTTCGTGTACATCTTTCTTACATTCATCTGTCTCACACACAGAGAATTGTCTGAACATAGACAATTCTACAGAATTCTCTGTGTACACATCATTCACAATTATCTATGCATGAGAGAAACAAGTATCCGAAAACAAGTGTACATCATTCACAACTCAACAATAATATACTAGTACTTTGTATCACACAATTAAGGAAATAATTAATCATCCAGCTTTAAATAGAAGTATAATATCAAGTGTCTTACCCAAAGTAGGAGCAGGAGTAATAGGGCTGGGAGACGGAGATGGACCCACTGTAATTTGAAAAAGGCAAAGTCATAATGACCGAGCGTAAACTTTTCTTTATGTTTCGAATTGAAACGAGAGTAATACGATAGTACTACGTAATTATTACTACGGGTACATACTACGTAGTTACTATCTTACCAGGGGTATGATGAACCGGAGCAGGAGGTAGGGGATCACTAAAATTAAATAGTACCTCCCTTCTCTTTTAATTGCAACATTGGACGTTTTACACTATTCACACATTCTACTTTCACTATATTTTATTAATTAACGTATTATACATTAAATTTTTAAAAAATATTGTTAAATTCTTCTCATTCTAAATTTTCAAAATATGAATTTTTTAAATTTTTTCCTAATAAGGGGTGAAAGATATTAATGGTCAAACTTGTGCATTGGCAAACGTGAAATGTTGACTGTTGCAACTAAAAAAGAACGAAGGAAGTAGGTTTTTCAAAACAAGTTAGGCTTATCACTTATAATTCCATGCATGCACTAATGAGTAATGATGTGCTAACAATATACTACGTACGTATTTTGAAGTAATAAGTAATAACTATAGCAACAAGCCCATAATATACTCCCTTAACCCACAATTAAATTTACATTTGACCTTTTTAATCAATTTTTGTTTACTTTGACGGTTAAATACCAATATAATTTTCATATACGGAGAGTAATATATACAGTATTACTGAAATGTTATTTAATTTTAGATTTGGCAAGTGTATATTTTATACGTACTACTTTATACTATGTATAATTGAGGGACTATATATATATATACTAGATAGTAATTTGTAGACTTGCAGTAGTAGTAATAAGCTTACCACAGTTGGAGATTATCGAGTAAGATATGGGACTGTAACATTCTTTGAGGAGATCTAGTCCCCTGGAGACATTAAACACTAGCCCAGAATGAGCCAAGATATCAGTGAGGCCAGCACAAAAGCACTCCACTTCTGTTCTGACTGCGACTTCAACTCCAGAGCAACAAGCCACTGCTGGAATCGAAGATGTGCCCAGGAAGAAAGGAACACAGTCGATTAGAAGGTCGAAGACAATGTTGGCGTTGCAGCTCCCCTCCGTACTGACCTGCAGAATTTTCAAATAAAGACCAATAATAAAAGAAGTTAAAAGATCATATTTTTAATACTATATCTTACATGTTAATTATTCTAACCTACACCAAATTTACGAAGCAAATAAAAGGCATGATGCAAATTACCCTTGGGGAGAAAGGACCGGTCGAGATCTGAGAATACCCTACATAAATGCTCAAGTAATTAGAACAATTCTTTTTATTCCAACCCAATTAACAAGAACATACTAGTAATTAGTGTATGTTGAAACTTGACACAGTGATCAATTTATTCGTACATAAAACATAAATATTAACACTGACCATTGATACTGCCCACAGCATATGAGGGGTCATGAGCAAACACACTTTCTGCACCCACTAATAAAGATTAGAGAAGTGATTTAGAAATAATTGCACACTTACAATATGTCAATATATAATAAGAAAAAGCTCAGAATTAGCTTAGAACACATAAGATCAGATGTGAATGCTTACTCTCTTTGGTCATGGCCATGGATGTAACAAGTGTGATCAGTAGGAGCATCCTTTTGACACCAAAACCCATTTTCAGCTTGATGATGATACCAGACTCTTGAGTAAAATTAAAGGCAATTGAGGAAAGGTGAGACTGTGAGAGTAGAGAAGTTAGTAAACTAGTGCTGTGAGTAGAGTGGAGATGGATATGAAGTTAGGCTGCACTTATATATACAGTATAGATGAAGAATGTAAACTTCACTTTATGTTTATTTCAATGGAAAGTTGAGTGGAGTAATAATTACTCGGTACTAGGTAGTTAATGTCCTACTAGGGCAAGGATGGATAGGAGCAGGGGGAGGTGGGGGGCTCACTGAAATTAAATAAGGTTTCCCAAAATAAAACGTGTCAGGCTTACAATTCCATGCATGCACCGATGAACTTTAATTTCTTATTATAGACGAAGTAATAAATGATAGGGAGTAAAACAATTATTTATCCTACAACTAAAAGAAATGCGTAGTAAGAAATTATTCTTAGCATCATTAATTATAATTATAATATATACTTCCTATGTTCTTTTTAATTCTAATTGCATTGGTCCACTTATTACGTTTAATATGCCAAAACACAAATTTGATCATTAATGTTTTTCATTCCTTATTAATACAAAATTAATGCAAAATTTGGCCTTTGACACTTCTTGTGTGTTGGAGAGAGATTTATTGGAAAATTCAGTTCAAGTATTTTTATGCATGGTCCTTAAACTTTTATAAATAAATGTTTCGTATTGTCAAAATGGTGTTAGAGAACTTTTCAATTTTTGTAGCAGTTTTAAAAAATTGGATGAATGATGTTGGAAAGTTTTTGTGATTCTCCGAAACCCCTCAAATGCTCAAAATGGGTGAGGTTGATGAATAACTAACTAAATGATAATTTATGCTCAATTTAAAATCAATATATCAATCTGAGTTTGTCATATCTTGGAAGCAATTTTGATTATAATTCATTGGGAAAAGGTGCAAATAGGCCCATGTACTAACCAAAAAAAGTCAAATAAGCCCTTATTTAGGAGACTCTGTCTGACCGTCGTCATTTGGGGTGGTTCCCGGTGGAATTTTTTGATGAAGTTTTTTGAACATCTTATTCATCAAGTCTAGTTTACTCATACCAAAATTCAGCTAAAATTTCAATCGGGAAGACATTGAAATGAATTCTTGAAGATAACTGTGTCAATCGGGAAGGCATATCAATGTTTGTGTGATTCAACAATGTTAATCTCGATTTCAGAAGTTGTCTGTAGCTAATTTTTGGCAATCTTCTTGACGATTTTAGAAATTTGGTACTGTTCATTTTCAAATTTTCTGTCGGCTCTATCGGATTTGTTTGACCTTGAGTGCTGATTTATGCCATTTCGAAGCTTTGCCAATGGTTTTTTATTTCCTAATCTCACTTTTCATATGATTTATATTCAGATTATGTTTACAAATTATGTGTACGACCATTGAATACCCGTTTAACAATACCCACCCATGTCACTATGTGACCATGTGCTATTCCCATCTATGGATGTTTATTTGCATACCATTCCATGATCTAATTAAAGTGGATCATGGACGTTTGTTCCCATACCATTCTATGCCGTTTCTATGCCGTTTGTTTATTATATACTACGTACATAGATCTGTATTAAATTATATTCCGTTTTTTGTACTTATTTTTTTATCATAAGTAAGTCAAGTATGGTACACATAATTCTCACTCGATGTATGAAATTCAAATAAGTCTAATGTTCACACTTACACATTTGTAATTTGTCCCAGACTAGAGCAGACCAGACCAGACTTGGATAGTTATAAAAATACAAAGAAACCAGACCTTACCAGACCATATCAGACCAGTTCAGACCAGACCAGACTAGACCAGACCAGACCAGCAAATTACAGTCCAAGTAAAAACATCCATAATGACAAATGGAAGCTGACCTAAATAAGACACGATTATACATCTTACGTGTTAATTATGAGATTGTTATTCATTTTACTAGTAAATCACCCGTGCGATGCACGGTCGGAGAATTTCTATCCCATTTTACCTTCCTTCGAAATAATTTCAAAACAATCGCCATAAAAGATCTATTGACAAAAATATAGGTGCACAACAACTTTCTCACAACTCTAGTAAAATTTCACCAAGTTTGTCAAATTTCACCACGGTTGGTGAAATTTTATTTGTAAAATTTCAGTCAAATTAGACATAAAAATAAATTTGTACTTTTAATTGAATAGTTTAGAATTATATATTAATACAGTTTGACATAACATGAAATATACTCCCTTCGTCTCGTAGAAACATTTTCAGTTCCTGTTTGGGACGCCCCGTATAAAGGTTCTTATTTTTATTTAAAAAGAAACAATCATAAATGACATGTTAATCACTAAATATTAAAAATAATATTGATAAATTTGATAAATGTTCCCCAACATTTATCACACCTAAAATAGGTGGTTCTCGGGATTAAAGAAATCACAGTTATTTGGTAAATTATTTTAATAAATAAGTAATAAGGTTATACGAATTGCACTGGTTTAATGAATTGTCTGGCTAAACAGGCAAATCAGGGGGTGCAAATATGTGGAAAGGGTAACTATATTTGGCACCTTGTGAGCATGGTCATTGCCTAACCAAGTTCCAAGGGCCTTGCATATTAACAGGCTTTTCATTATTAGTGTATTGCTGATATAGTCTGGAATAAATACTACGGAAGTGCGCAATAAAAATATTTAGTTTTGAAGAAGTCATTGTAGGAGTGACCCTTAGAATTCCCAATAATACATATAGAAGAGCAATTCTCGAAATGACTTTTTAAATTCCAAGTGTGTTGAAAAAATGTGTGAAAATTGCATTAAATGGCTATTTTGGGGCAATTTTTTGAGTGAGGTCCACTTCCGATTTGGGTCGGGTCAAAGTGGTTTCGGATTATCCTTGTTAAGGGCTACAATTCGATATATGGTACGCTCAAAACGGATAACGGGTGAATGAGAAATCGTTTTTCGAAGTTTACCCGTTAGAAGGGAAAAAGGATGGGTTTCTACTGTGTTAATTTCCCACACCGGAAAACCCAAGGGATTTGCTACCCTTTATAAAGGGACTCCCCCCTTATGGAGTTAAGATTCTTAAGGGTAAAGGCTCTCTCCACGCGCGCAGGGGGGGTGCAAATCAAATCCCGAATTCGGAGAAGAAAAACCGCGACTTGCGTGCGCAGGCGACCTGCGGACACGAATGTCGTCCAAAAATCCTCAAGAGATACGGCTAAGGAGCTATGGAATGCTTTGGACCACAAATATAAAAGCGAGGATGCCGGCGCAAAGAAATTTGTTGTTGGTCGATTCCTTGATTTTAAAATAGTGGATTCGAAGACGGTCTTGAGTCAAGTTGAGGAGATGCAAATGATCTTCAACGAAATTCGAGATGAAGGAATGACAGTTAGTGAGTCGTTCCAAGTGGCGTCAATTATTCATTTATTGCCGCCGGCTTGGAAGGATTTCAAGAACTACCTTAAGCATAAGCGAAAGGAAATGAACTTGGAACAACTGATCCTCCGTCTGCGGATTGAAGAGGATAACCGGAAGAATGATGGGAAACTCCCAATTGTTCATGGCGTCAAGGCCAATGTGGTGGAGCATGCAAAAAGCTCCAAAAATAAAAATAATGGGAAGAGCAAGCTCGGTCCCAAGGGAGGCGTTTCCAAGACAAAGTTCAATGGAAAATGCTTCAATTGCAATAAAAATGGACACAAGTCCCTGGATTGCAAGGCACCAAAGAGAAAGAAAGATTCTCACGTCAACTTGGTGCAAGGTGGGCAAAAGGATGAAGACATCATCCTAGCGGCCGTGGTGACGGAAGTCAACCTCGTTGGATCCAATTCCAAGGAGTGGTTTGTGGACACCGGTGCTACCCGGAATATTTGCTCAAACCGGGAGTTATTCTCTACTTTTGAGCCATCATACTTAAAACTGCTCTGCTCCTTCAAAGAGAAGAAACAGAAGTTACAGTATTTTGGTGAAAGTGCAGAAGTGATTCTTGTGATCTAATTTACTCCTAGGATCAGTTTTTTAGAAGCTGGGGTATGCTAGCTTCTGGAAACTGATTTTGCTTCTGCTTTAAAAAAGAAACAAAAACAGAATCAAACACCCCCTAAGTACTACTTAAAAGATTAAAAACATCTAACAAATACATTGAAACCATAGCATTGTAAATATGCATTGACATCACAATACTAAAGCATTACTTTCGGGTACTTATTATTACCCTTCATCCTTGCTGTGAACATATTGTCCTTAACTGAACATGCCCGAATCACTGAATCGAGAGACTGATCATCGCAAAAGACAACACTTTGTTCTTCCGGCATATGGAAGCTCAAAGGTTCAACTGTCGGGGTCTTGTATTGAATTTCAAACCCAAATATGCGCCAAGCAGCCTCGCACGCAGAAACATATCTACAGTCATAGTACATCTGTATCTTATCGACTGATCGTGCATCGCACGGTTAACATTTGAAGTTGTTAATAAGAATGCTTAAGAATCAACACATTTTAGAAATCGGACATAGAGAGATGCAAATCCTAAAGAAATCTATACAGTGGCTGAGCCGATCTTATCCATTTGTTTAATCCCAAAAGCTCACACGTAGGGGCCCCATTTTTGGAGATTTTGCACAAAAAACCCTCGGGAACCCATTCGTTTTTTAAGCCCAAAATTGTTTTGCTTTTATATTATAATAGATAATAGATATTGACTCTTAAGGCCCATAAAATAAAATAAAAAGTTATCCAACAGACTCAATTTTTTTTATATTTTCAATTGAATTGACCAAGCCTCTATTTGCAAGAGCTTAAAAAACGTTTCTCGACTTTTGACTTAAAAAGTTAAAATTGGTATTTTCAGATGACAATTTCCACTTAAAAAAGCATTTCTTGGTTTTTGACTGAAAAGTATTTTTACTATTTTTATTATACAAAAAGCACATATTTTACCAAACATGACCCAGCTTTACTTTTCAAATTCACGTTCTTCTCAAACACAACTTTTACTACTAATCATATTATCCAAAATCACTTTTAAAAAGAGCTTTTTTTAAAAAAAAAAAAAAGGAAAAAGCATTAGGAAATAGAGAAAGCCACCATATACTTGCTCCGCATATACTTCACTAAACCAAAAGCCACTTTTTTGTACGTCGGATCTAGATTGCTCATTTTCTATCCAGATCTCATCTCTAGATTTGAGGATAAAATATGGCTTTGATCTGCTTTAGGTCTCCGGTGTCTTCCCCGAAGAAAGCGTCGACTCCAGTTGTATGCCCGGCTGCTACGCCGTCTTCTTCATATGCGACACCTCCCTCCGCAACTCCTCCTACTCTGTCCCCTCCAGTCACCACAATCCAGTGATCCACTCCTCCGTCCCTGCTGCTCCCACCAACTCTCACCCAAAAATCCACCCACCGGTGTAGCTTCTCCTACTCTTAGGTTTGCCGCCTCTATTCCGCCAGAGTCGTATTTCTGAGCCAACCACAAAACACATTCACCGCCTGTTCATAGTGAAGCCTTCTGATCTACAGCGCCGAACACAGAAGATCGAACTCAAACTGGTCAGTTCATCAAGTGGTGTTGTACACCAACGACGACTGCGAAAAATCATACATCTATTTCAACAGTGATGAAGGTAAATATATCTATCTTTTCCATTTTATTTCATATTCTTAAGGTCCGAACATATGTAAAACTGAATTTCGTAGCTTAGAGATAAAATGTTCACCTATTTGCATTTATATAGATTTGAAAGGAGGTGTTTTATATTATTTGTCAAATAGACTTCAATATTTTTTATACTATTTCTGTTCTCTTTTAGTTGCAACATTGCACTTTTTGCATTATTCACATATTCTACTTTGACTACATTTTATTAATTGATGTATTAAACACCTAATTTTTTTAAAATATTGTTAAATTCTTCTCCTTCTAAATTTTCAAAATATGCATTTTTTTTAAATTTTTTAGTAATACCAATGAAAGATATTAATGGTCAAACTTGTGCGTTGGCACACGCGAAAGGTAGAGGCCACACTATCATTCACCGTTTGGCATTTGTTTGGATCTGAAATTAGGTATTAATCATCTGTTTTTTTTTTGTTTATTTCAGTTTTTAGTATGATAAACTTTATACAGAGTATTTCATATATATGCTCGTACTTATCTTTAAAATGTTACTGTGTTCATTTTATTGTTTGAGAATAGACCATCCTTCACCTATAAAATGCATAAACAATTTATAACCTGTGGAATAAATAAAAAATTCTCAGTAATAGAAATCAAACCTTTTTTTCTTCATGAAGAGTACACAGTTTTTGTGTGTTGTTTCATGATGAGGTTCTATGTTTTAGAGGTTCCTATTTAGCAAAATAGTTACTTGTATTAACTTTAGCAATGAATTTAGCAATGAATTTCTCAGGAATGTGAAGTATCTTTGACAGCTATAGATTTTTCGACCAATTAATTTCAAAATAACTTTATAAGAAGATATAAATAGAAACCTCTAAAACATAGAACCTCATCATGAAATATGATTTCCAATGAATTGGGACCATTATGAGCGGGCTCACAGTCATCCTAACACCCTAATAGCTCTTGCTTTCATTTCTCTTTTGATTTTGGAGTAGAGACTAGAGACCACAATTCAATCATTTTTGGAGAAAAATTCTACAATTTGCTGTGGGAGTTTGCTATGGGAGCTGCAGCGAGCAAGTGTGATGCATCCCAGTCGATAGAACTGTGCTTTTATACCCAAAATTTTCATTCAAAAAAATTGGTTACCTAAAAACATGCATGGGTGAAGTACACGCATAAGATTTATCAAGATACTGAATGAGTGAAGTACACGCATAAGATTTATCAAGATACTGCACTTTGTGAGCATGGCATGGGCTCTTAAATATTTACTCCATATCAATCTATTTGTATTTTTATATTCATTTTAAGGCCCGTGTGACCTGCCAAATCCCCCCCTCAAGATGTGTGTAATCAACAATAATGTACATATTACCTTTAAGCATGTGAATGTGTTAATCCATACATTGATACATATCTATATCACTGTATTCCCCACTTGTCCACTTGGCACTTGTCTACCCTTCACGCATAAATCATTAAGAATATATCTTTATCTTGAACTATTGTTTTTTTTTTTGTAATTTAGAAAATTGTTTTACTTGATGTTGACAGTTTTGAGCGGGAATTTCACCCCAAAGAACATTTTGCTTTTAGATATTAATAGATGTCACAATGATTGAATTAATGTTATCAGGTAATTAGAATTGGAAAGTTATGCTTAAAAAAATTAGACAGACTAATATTTCAGCGCAGCTTTCACTAAAAACTTACTCTTGTATCACTACCAAAAAAACATGGGATTTTGGAAGGGATTATGTCAAATCTATGCCAAAAAAACTTTGGCACGAGCTATTTGGCATGAAAAATCGGTAATCCGTGCCAAATTTCCGTGTCAATCCCGTGTTTTTTTGTAATGTACATTCAATATGTATTATTTCTTTTTGACAGAATTCAATATGTAATTATGGTTAAATAGTGAACATAACTATATTAGTCGAGTATGTGTGGACCTTTTTATGTGTAATTATTAGAGCAACTCCAATGCTCTACTTTCAACATTAAAAAATAATTGACACATGTCAAAAAATGTATGGAATGTCAAGCCACATAAGAAGGTGGTGGAAGCATAATAAATTGAAAGTCTAAAATCTTTTCCAATGCAATTTAATAGACTGAATGGATAAATGGCTATTTCTAAGTTCCCTAGCAGTAACTCACTATGGATAAACATGATATCCACATTTTCCGTTTTCAAGGTGCGTAATTCGCACCACTCGTTTTCAGTTTTTCACCCAAAATGTTGAATTAGCCTGTCTAAATGGCTTTGTAAAATGAGAAAGTGGGGTTGACACTTTCTTTAACACATAAACACGACATACAATCTAAAGACCGCATTGGAGAAAGTTTTTTAATATGACTTTCCTATTGTATTATGTGGCGTACTTTTCTTGATGTGGAAAGTGGAGCAAGAGATACTCTTATACTTTCATTACTGCTCCCTCCTTTTTTATTAATCAATAGTCCCCTAAACTTTGGCACATGTTTTAAATGGAAAATATATAATAGGGGGTGATGTAAACGTTGTAGTGATTTGTGCTTAAATGAAAAATAGGAAAGAAAAACGGATGAAAATAACAAAAATGAGGGTATGAATATATACTTATTGAAAAAACTTTTCGAAAATGAAAAGAAGGACAATTAATAAAAACAGACCAAAATAGAACAAGACCTCATGTTTTAGGTTGTAGCCTGTAGGTGAAAACTGAGAACTAAACTACAGTGTAGATGATAATTGTAAATAGATAGATAATGTTTAGTGGTAGGGAAATAATTACTATAACAAAAGTGTACATGTTGCGTGAGATGATAATTGTACGTACAGAGGTAACGTTTTTATTTACTACGGAGTACTCTATATTTCTCTTACGCGATATAAATGTACAATAATCTAATAAATTATTAGATTATTCTCCGTATATTCATACTCATATGATATGATGTCATGTCATAGCTATATATGTGATACAATAATAATAAATTTATAAACATTACTTATTTATTTATGAGAGTTTTTTTCCAAAATAATGTTAATTAAATAAATGATTCTCAAAATATTGTTGAGTTAAAAATAACTCCTAAAATATTGCATGTTGTGTTAACCGTGATTAAGGACATTACAGAACATGTAATGATGTTTTCTTTTGGATTGAAATTTGTTGGTCTGGTCTGGTCTGGTCTAGTCTGTTTAAGTCTGGTCTGATCTGGTCTGGTCTGGTAAACATGTGGTCTCTGTGTATTTTATAACTATGCAAGTATGGTCTGGTCTGGTTTGTTTAAGTCTGGACTGTTCTGGTCTAGTCTGTTTAAGTCTGGTCTGGTCTGATCTGGTCTGGGACTGAAAACAGTCCAAAAGAAAACATCCTAACCCTGTACAAGATCCGCCAGGCGGCTTTAGCAAAAGTAAGGCAAGGCAAATACAACATGTAATACCAAAGTTAATAATAGATGGTAATGGATTTCTAAAAAAATTGATGGTAATGAATCCCATCCAAATTACAAATCTCATGGTTTCTTTAAAGTGGTGTAACTTTTTTTTAACTCTGGTTGTTACAAAAAATATACTTCGTATCAAAATTCATAACTTTTTATTATATTTCATATGACACTAATATAGAATACATAAAGTCAAAAAAATCTATTAATTTGTGTAGTTTGGGATAATTTTTTATCGTGCACACAATAATTAAGAGTGATAGATTAAAATAAAATTACGCAAATTCCATCAGATGTATTTAGTTATCTTTGGCACAAGAATTTATGGTGTTTTATTTTATATGATACAAATATAAATTTTGTTGAATCATTTACTTATTTCATTTATCGTTGTCATATGAAATAAAACAACATATATTCTCATGCAAAAGATAAATAAATAAATGTAAATAAATAGCTTAAGTTATTACAGATGACCAGTGTAGTAGTGTAGTTATTATAGAATTTGGTGTAAATAATTTGGTGCAAAAATACCGCTCCATAAACAATTATATTGGCCTTCAACATATTCCTGATTAGGGCTGGACTGAACTGGGCCAGTTCAGGCCTCGGGTCTCGGTTCAGAAATATGAGGCCCGAGCCCGAACCGGGGGTGGACGGTTCCGGGTCCGGGCCGGACCGGGCCGGTTCACCCGGGTATTTAATTTTTTTTTTTTTGGCTTCTTTTATTTAACCCCTAACCCTCCCCCTCAACCCCAAACCACCCCAAACCACATCAAATGGCCCAAAATACCTAATCCAATTCAAAACTTAAAAAATTTTCAAAAAAAAAATAAAAAAAAAAAATAATTCCAGCCCGGACCGGGCCCGAACCGGCCGGGCCGGTTCACCAAATGGAGGGCCCGGGCCCGGAACCGGTATCCACCAGGCCGGTTCGACCCGAACCGCTGGTGGACCGGGCCACCGGGCCGGGCCGGTTGCTACAGTGGGCGGGCCGGGTCGGTTCCGGGTCGGGCCGCCCGGCCCAAGTCCAGCCCTATTCCTAATCGAGGGACATGTTTGTTTTTTCATACTGGGTTGGAGTGAGGACGTGAGGTGCAAAAACAAAGATTTTTGAAAACGGAATGCAAAGTCCAATTTCAGCAAGATCCGATTTCAGCAAGATCCGAATTTTAGCCGTCCAAAATTTTATCATCCATTTAATAGAACCACAACTAGCAATATATATAACCATTTGATTCATAATTGATCAATTCCATTTCCATTTTCACTTCCACCTCAAAATCGTGTGTCCACCCCATTGCACCCACACAAATACCACCCCTATACAGGCAGAATTTTATCATCCATTTAATAGAACCACAACTAGCAATATATATAACCATTTGATTCATAATTGATCAATTCCATTTCCATTTTCACTTCCACCTCAAAATCGTGTGTCCACCCCATTGCACCCACACAAATACCACCCCTATACAGGCAGGATCCAGATTCTCTGGATTTGGCAGCCAGGTAGGGTTCATGACTTTACTAGCCACGCGGTTCAATTTTGGCAGCCCCACAGCTCTCTTCTCCCTATTGCCTTTGCCATTGGATGCCGCAAGGCACCTCTGCGGATCCAAATCCATTATCATCATTTTCTAATAGAAAGTTGATGCCCACAGGTTTGCAAAACCGTATAATAACTTCAACACTTGAAATGAAATGGTTAAATAAAACAAAACAAAACAAAAAACTCAAATATACAAAAAATATGTGGGGGAAATTACAGCAACAAGGATTATCTCTGATATTTCCAACAAACTTTTCGGATATTCTCAGTTTAGAATGCTGCTGATAAAAGCAGTAACTTGTTTGAAGTAAGCTGAAATGCAGACATGGGGGGAATTTCTCTTATGGACTCGTGAACTAACACATATAAAACTCTAAAAATCTATTGAGGTTTGCCTCTCTGAAGGGGCAACACACTGCCACAAAGAACGGTATGAAGGTATACTAGCAGCATCTATCCCCATTGAAGAAAGGTTGCGTGCATATTCCTGTTAATAAACACAAAGATGGGAGAAAGAATGACTACAGCAGAATTTCCAAAATCATATCAAAGAGTGGATATGGGCAATGGAAGTAGAAACGTGAGCCAATTAGTCCCGCAAATATAAGCTTTTACTCAAATTGGTCAACTTTTTGTGTGGCTAAATTTGGTTCTCTGCTATGCACCGATATAATTCTCAAACATTTGGCTCTATATAAGGATGCACTTTTGGTGATTCACAAAATTTAGAACTCAATTTAGTCCTTAAATGTGTTATCTGGACCCAAATTTGTTTTGGGAGGATAAAATCATCCTTTTAGGATATAGTGGAAGGACTAAATCATGTATTAACAGACTTCTAAACAACTGTGACTAAATTTATGAAAAACGGAAAACAGGTTAGAAGTTACATGATGCCACAAGAATTCAGGGACTGAATTGCAATTTTCCGTGAAAAAGAAAAATATTTAGCACCTGAATGTCGAGAAACAACTGCATACACATCTTGTCGGTGTCAGATATATTATGATCAGAGACATCTGAGCTTGCTCCTGCCCGTCTTTGAGCACCCAAACGTATCTTCTGAAGTGAAGACTCTGTTTTCCTAGCCTGAGACCACAAGATTGAAATCCTATAGAAAGATCTTCTAATGCAATGGAGGCAAAATGGGGAGTAAAGGGGGAGAGATTTCAGGATATTCTTATACGGAGTAGTTTATTTAAGAAAAGGAAGTGTGCCAGCATCTGCTCACCACATTGACAAGGTCTGAAGCTAGCTCATAGTAACAGTCGGTGATCTTGAAGGCGGCACCATCTAAAAGCTCGTTTCTTATCTCGTCTGTCAAGTATCTAGTGGCCCGTTCTCCTTCCAAGAATGCCTGAAAGGATTTATTCAATGTTATTCCCACAATCCATGTACTATGCAGAGTCATTAGTACAGATTTAGCAGTAAAAAAGAAAACCTCCTAAAAATTGCTGTGTTCTGAATATCCATGCTCTAGACTACATAAAAGCCCCATTTATTTTCCACAAACAAAAGCGAAAAATGATACTCCCTCCGTCCTGTAGAACGGTTCTCACTTTCTTTTTTTGGACGTCCCATATATAGGTTCTCATTTCTATTTTAGGAAACAATTAACATTCTTAAATAATAATTTAATCATTATATATTAAAAATAATACATTTATAACATCACATTTATTAATACTAACCCCATTATATTACAGACCTATTAAAATTATTTCTCAAAATATATTCAAATTACCTTATTTAATTATTGTCTAAATAATCGTGATGTTTCACCATGGGAACCTTTCATCGGGACGGAGGTAGTAAGATATAATAATATTAGTAGGAATTGAAAACTTTGAGCCCATAATGCCACAAAATGTGCAACGAAGATCTTTTGAACAAAGCTTTAATTTCTAAATAAAATGCACTTAAATAAGCCTACTTTGATAAAAATAAAAAGATCAGTGACTCTTATTACTTAATATCATAATATTATGCGTAGTATACATCTTCCAGTATAAAGAAATTGTTTGTGAGAAATCTGACTGGTCAAGGAGCTTATTTGTAATATTAGAAAATCTCAATGGTCATTTGTTGATTTGACCAAACCTCATGGGTGATAGATCATAGATGTAAGTAATCCTAAAGTGAAAGTTCACTAGCAACAGATTTGCATATTTGATATCATGTTCCATAACACAATTCAGACTGCCATTTGGAAGAAGCACCCTAACTAAGTCATTATCTTGATAATTTTTTATAATATCTTACAATAGAACAAGACTCATCACTCATTCACACCTAGCAAATGGTAAGGCAATGATCAATGGATATTGATGAATCAACAGAAAAGTCCGGGGTGACACGGTCCAACTACTAATAAGTACTGAAGTAACATGAAACTTGAAAGAGAAAAGAAAATGTACCTTTAATGGCCTCAGTACACCTGAAACATATGGGGAATGCCTGACAGGTAAGGGCTTGTTTGTCATCCTATATGTAGCAGTTATTCCCTTTAATTGTCTTATATCCTACAGTATGCGTGAATAAAAACACATTTTAAGCCAAAAATATTGTATAAGCAAATTTTAAGTAGGTCGGGATAAGACAAATTTACAGGGAAAAAAATACTTACCTCCACAGCCCTCTCAACTATTGTCTCAACTACTGCGCTTATCACAAGGGGCACAAGATCATTGAGAGACTTTGCGCCTTGTAGTATGCTCTGCTTTACAAATTCAAGTACTTGGGATGGGCAAGATTTGAGCAACTCAAGTACATGATTGAGGTAGGCCCCACAAACTTCCTCCGCCAAACATTTCAAATCATGAATTATCTGCAATGCAAAATTCCAAGTAACACGGAGAACTTTACTAAGTGATTAATAAAATATTAATTAAATACAAAAAAGAGAAATAAGTAAGAGGGATCCATGAGATTCTTCCATTTACAAGCCTTTAAGAATGAGCTGTGACAACAGACCATACATACATAGACAAAATCATCGGACGTGGAAGAAAGAGCCCATTCGTATCCTGGACTAGGCCCTGTCCTGCTAGCTTTTCGAGCACCTAATCCAGCAGACAACCAACTACAGTATCTGAAGTAAAAGAAAATGGGCACATATGTATACAGTTCAAGGACCTTTTTAAATAGATAAACAGCGAACCCTCATATAACAGTTAAACAAATACTAAAAATAGAGTTCTGGTTTCAAAAGTTTTTTTTCACACAACAAGCCATATTTGATAGAATAAAGCAAAATGGCTCACTAAATTGTCTGTGCTTCTTTGTTATGAAGTAACAGTCAGTCTATGCAATTTTCGACGCGTTTTTCACTATGGGTCATTCGGAAACAGTCTCTCTGTGCTTTAGTACAGGGGTAAGAGTGCGTACATCCGACCCCCCCTTACCCCACTGTAGGTGGGAGCCTTTGCGGCACTGGGATGATGATGATGATGATGATGATGATGATGATGATGATGATGATGATGATGATGATGAACAAGCCATATTTGATCAAAGGGGACAAACCGACAAACTTTTCCAAAACTTTCCAGAAAGAGTTGCAAACCAGTAAATATGATAAATTCAGTTGAACGAACAAATAAAACAATATCCAAGCCTTATTCCCAAAAGGTTTTGGGGTCAGAGAACATGAATCGATCCATGATATCAGAGCTAAAAAGAAAAGAAGATAAGAAAAATAAAAAGATAAGGTACGATAAAATGAATGAAGATGAAGATGTAGATGAAGATAAAGATAAAATAACACGAGAAAGATAAAAGATAAAAATAACATAAGAACACAGGAAGATAAAGAAGGGGAAAAATAAGAGGGAGGGAGGGAGAGAGAGGGAGAGACATAACACGAAACTCAACCATTTTTTAAAATATTTTTCAACTCATTTCATTTACATACTCCAAATATAAGTACTTGTAATGTACCTGGAAAAAGTATAACATTAAACTAATCTGATTGTATAACAAGAAAAACTTGCCTGGAAATAAGTTGCAAAGATAATCGTAGAAACTTGTCAGAGCAAGAAATCACAAGAACATCGTCACTCCAGCAAGCTCTTAAACACTTAATAAGAGTAGCACTCTGCTTTAGAATCAGATCTTTAGGTCTTGGCTCCTCAAACGGTGTTGTTACGAGGCTGACATCCGTAAGGGCAGAATCTAAGGCCCCAGCTATCTCCTGAAATCTAGATGCAAGGATATGTCAGTGTTGTTATTCTAACAATTAACAATAGTAAGTTGCAGTTCCATTTAGCATAACCCCTCTCGACTTCCTTCAATGAGAAATAGTGGCTATGCAGAAGTTCCTACACATTCTCTAGACAGCTTAAGTATAAATCACTTATGAGTTATGAGTGATCCTTGTGGTAATAAACACTAGCCCCAGGTATAGCTACCTGCACAGAACTCATTTCCCTTGGCACAGAATAAAGGTCTATTTGGAACTCAGAAAATACTAGGGAAAGAAAATAGGAATAAAATTACAGAAACATTTGCCAAATGGAAGAAAATAAATTTGTAAATAAATAAAAGATGGGGGGGAAACTCAACCATTTCTTTAAATATTTTTCAACTCATTTCATTTACATACTCCTATTTTTATAAATACTAACAATCTAAATATATAAACTTTTATAGAAATGAAAAAATGATTGATCATGTCATTGGCATTTTCCATGATAAAATCATAAAATCAAACATAACAAAACAACTTTCCTTGAAAAGAATTCCTTTTCCCTAGAACTTCCCAAGACCCAAGAGCATACCAAAGAGAGAACGGAAAAAAGGCATTACTGAAAATAAGGTTACACATTTGAAATCAGCTGTTATAAGGACCGCGTTGGACTACCTTAATGAGAAATAGACCCCAACATTCCATTGCTTCATAAAATCACTATATGCAACTTCAGATCGAAACTTGACCACTTCAGATCTTGATGGACAGTAACCTTGCAAAGTAAGAACATGTAAATAGATTGACATTGTCTAATTAAAAGTTTAAAACTTAAAAGTAGACTTGTCAAATATTCTCAGCTACCTTCTAAGTAAGCCAAAAAATCCAAGCTTGCTTTGTAATTTTTCAAGAAAGCTGCAGGTCTTCCAGGTGAAAACACTCCGGGTTTTCCTTTTTGGATGGAAGAGTGAATCTCTCTAAGAATAGAATTTGCAAGGAAACTTGACACATGTAAGCCTGAATTTTCTGCACATGAAATTTAAACATAAAATGGATACAATGAAAGTTGAATAGTGAATGATGTTCAAAATTATAGTATGGATGAGCATGCATGAATAAGTTGAATGCTAATTATACATTGATGCTGACAGGAGTCAAAATTCTTGATCACTCATATTATATTTTATGGAAGGGTACCTATTAGATGAAAAATAAAAAAAATGCTAACAAAGGACAAGATTTCATTTCTAATGATGAGAAAGCATAAACAATAAAAGATCAAATCTTTAAAAAAGGCAAAATGCAGCACCATTGCATGAGAAACATAGCAAGAAGGCAAGCTGACATAATAATCATATTGAGATACATCTTCTTTAGTGTTTTTTATGGCAGATGGTAGAATAAACTGCCATTCTTCTCAAATTTCATGTAGCAGTCTGCTATATTTGCATCACATCCATCTGCTATAGTGTTGCCATGGACTCGCACAACACTCTTTAGGAAGCAGAAAATGCAACAGTAATCTTTTCAGAATACATATTGTGATACTACTAACTAATTCGCCAATGGAGTTGATAACTATTCTCATTATAGATCTTTTGAAAAAATCCAACTGGGAAAAAACAATACATAATGCTTGGAATGTTTTTTTGGGAAGTCATATGTAGGGGTGAGCGAATGACCGATTCAACTGACCTGACCGAAAACCGATGACCAAACCGACCGAAAAAATCGGTTTTCGGTCGGTTTTCGGTTATCATAAATTAAAAAGTAATCGGTTATTCGGTTTTTATTCGATTTTATTTGTTGGTTATCAGTCAGTCACCGATAACTGTCCAAAATATTTAAGTAAATATACTCCATAGTAATGAAATATGAAGTCCAGCCCACACCCTTAGGCCTTAACCCCATTCTTCAATTATCCACTTCCCCAACTCTTTAGCTTGTAATCAATTCATGGAACACCATGTTCAAAATTTCAAACCTCCACGTACACCTTCATCAGTTCTGAAGGAATCAACCTTGGTGGAAATCTCTCCGCATATATTAGGGTCAATATCTGATTTATGTCTACTGAAATCCTTATTTAATCGTTGAGAAATACACGCTTGATTTTTCTTTTAATGTTTTCTAGATCCTTTATTATCTTGCTCAAGATGGCAGATCTTTTGATTTCTAATTTTTTCTTTACAGTGTGATTTAAAATGTTCAGAAGCTTTTAGATGGGTTTGCTAGTTTGGGGTGCAATGATTAATAGGATATTAGCTTATTTATTTGCTAACATGTCCTTTTTATTTTGTTTTCATATTGAAAAAGACATTTTCCATCATTTGCAATGAAGCCAAAGATTCATTATTTTTTGGCTTGAGAATATGATGGAATAAAGCAAAATGGATCACTAAACTGTATGCGCTTCTTTGTTATGAAGCAGCAGTCAGTCCATGCAATTTTGGACGCGATTTTCACTATGGGTCATCCGGAAACAGTCTCTTTGTGCTTTAGTACAGGGGTAAGACTGCGTACATCCGACCCCACCTTACCCCACCATAGGTGGGAGCCTTTGCGGCACTGGGTAAATGAAAATGATGATGATGATGATTGAAAAAGACAATTGTGGAACGGTGAAATAGTTTCAACGTGGGATTTTTTAGCTTTTGTAATCGTATTGTGCTTTGTACAATTATTTACATTTAAGTATGTTGAATCCATTTGGTATTTATTATTTTATTTACTAATGTGCTATTCACAGCTTTTATAACTTTGAAAAATATATGCTTTTACAATAGGGTCGGTTATGGTCGGTTATTCGGTTACCGAAAGACATTTTTCGGTCGGTTTTTGTAATGTTGTCGATCGGTTATTTGACCGACCGACCAAATGCTCACCCCTAGTCATATGTATATGTCACCTAGAATAAAACTTGGGTACACATTTTTATATAAATAAAAATAAGAGATCATTATAGCTAAGTTAACTAGGCAAATAGCGCCATACCAGTTGATGAGATATCCAGTAAAAATCGAGCATCTGCTACAATATATTCCTTGATTTTTTTATAGTCCTCTTCAAGTTCATTTACAGATTCCCCAGAAACTCCAAGACTTTGTGGTATGACTTTATGAATCAATGGCGCCACCACAGTTGAGCGGAATATATCTTCAGCATTCCTAGTATTATCAGTGGCAGCATATGCACGCAAACAATTGTAGACTGCATTTGCATCCCTATGTTCAAGACCATCTACAAGTGTACGTCCAAGGCTAGTATCCAATAACGAGCTGGCATTCTGCATTCTCTTCTCCATGTTCTCAATGAAAGGCATATTCTGTACTGCCGTTACACAGAGAAGTGCATAAGCTGTCAAAACAACTAAGTAGTTTATGGAAGATTGACAATATGGCTTCCGTCACTCCATGTTAGTATGATCCAAATGGACTCATGGGAGAAACAACATATCGTCATTATCATCACATTAATCACATCTATGTTAGGATCTGCCGATCTGGTGATGTGAAATTTATAGGGTCAATTAACTGCCTAAATTGCTTAGCACTAAAACTTCATGCAAAAAAGCATAGAGGCAAAGTTTTATGCCGGATGCCCTTGCTACTGCAGGCTTCTAAAAATATATTATGGTGTTTATGGACAAAGCTAGTATTGAGCAAATCTAAGATCCAGTTATTTAGAATGTGGCGATTAATATGACTTTAAATTTCATAAGTGTACTTCATAATATTTAGAGGCAGCGAAAATTAAAGCATTCCTACACTCGATCCGCAAACAAATATTTAAATAATATTTATGCTCCAAAGCAGAAGAAGACAACTAAATATCACACCCAATTAAATCAAAGAAACGCGTTCAAAGAAAAAAGAGAACTGATCTCTCAAAAGCTATGAAATTGGATAAAGTTAAGAACTGGGAAAATCCATGTCACAATATGGGAGCAAATTCAGACCTGCGAATGAGCTATGTAGAACTTCAGTCTGTTCATCTCGCTTGCAATTCTCTCAAGATGCATGCTTTGAGTTTCTCTCAGATTCGATCCCTTTTCAGTATGGTGAAAAGTGACCCCATTGGTTAAATAACCATTTTCCGCATAATTATCCATTCCGTTTGTCAAATTAGTAGCCCCACTTGGCAATTCCTTGATCAATTTTTCTACCTATTTAAGAGATTGTGCAACTCGATTGGGTCAGAAAAAAAAAACTATACTAGTTTGAGTAGAAATTTAAATTGAATTGGACTTTTCCAAACCTCACCTTGGACACAACGTGGAATGTATCAAGCAAAAGCTCTAGAACTTCCCTAGCCTCCCCGGCATCCGCTCTCTGCTTAAGACGCGAGAGCAAAGCGCTGAGAGAGCTTTCTACAGCCTCACGGAAAGCCGAGATCTTACTTCGGATTTCGAGCAAAGGGGCACGCATACGTACGACGGCGGCGTCAACGTCTGTCAGCTTGGTGCTAAGGCTGACAAAATCAGCGTAATCTCGATTGATTAGGTCGATAAGGTCGCGCTGAAGGGAGGAGAGATGTGACCGGAGCTCCGAACGGAGAGTTTCGAGTGGGACAAATGTGCGGAGGTCCGAAATGTACGTTTCCGGGTCGAAGTCCTTGGAGAGGAACAGTGACGGGTTCAGCCATTGTGGAGGATTGGCGTCTGTCGGATCACCAAAGAGGTCAGTGGCGGAGCGCGGCGGAGCTCCCGGCGTCGAAGGTGACCGATGATAAGAGTAGAGATCTGTCATTCTACCTGCAAACTGAATCAAAGTGAAAGCAAGGACGTTATAGATCTGATAAACAAAAATACTTTTACAGATCGTCCCATTGGACTTTGCCAACTTTCTATTTTTTGTTGTCCTAAAAAACATTGCTATTTTTCTATTAAAGTAAGGAAAAATTGACAAGAATAATCCCACCTTTTACTGGTCTTCTCATAATAATCCCATCTTTAAATAATCTCAAAATAATCCCACCTTTACACCTCATCTTCTTTCATTGGACCCTGACCAAGTTTTTTTACCTTTTTTAAAAATCTTATATAAACAATCTCACATTTATAAGGATATAATTAAAAAGTGAAAGGTGAGATTATTTGTATAATTTTCAAAGAAAGAGTAAAAAACATGGTCAGGGTCCAATGAAAGAATATGAGGTGCAAAGGTGGGATTATTTTGGGATTATTTAAAGGTGGGATTATTATGAGAAGACCAGTGAAAGGTGAGATTATTCTTGTCAATTTTTCCTTAAAGTAATGAGTTAATTATCAAAATAGGACTAAAAGTCATTCATTTTGCACAAATAGGACCAAAAAATAAACTATGTTTCCATAGGACTAATTATGTTTGTCTTGGACAAATATACCCTTATACCTATTGGAATGTTTTAATTCATAATAAAATAATAAAAAATAATGAAAATTCGTAAAATATACCAAAAAATTAATAAAAATATTTTGAATAATAATAAATTAAAAAAAAAAATTAAAAAAAATAAAAAAAAAAATAAAAAAAATTAAAAAAAAAAATCAAAAAAATATTTTTTTTGTCACCGCCGCCTATACCGTCCCAACACCACCACCTCTAGTCATTTGGGGAAAAAATGCCAAATTTATTATGAATGCCATATTTTTGGCATTTTCCAAAAAAAATGGAAGTTTGTAGGAAATATGACATTTTTTTTAACGGTCGGAGGTGGTGGTGCAGGGAGGCGGTACCACCACCTCCTATCAACCAGATGCAGATGAAATCCGTCATTTTATCAACCTTATGTGGATGAAGGTTTAACTGAGAGATTTCAGGATGTTCTAAAAGCTGCCGACCAACATCTGTAAGCTGATTGTGAGGGATACACTCAGCTATCCGCCGTTACAGAATTTATGAACATAAAAGTCAAATACAGTCTCCCTGAAACTTGCATGAATAGAGTCTTGTTGTGACACCGCACCCGAACGTCCTTGAAAATTCAATTTAAACATTCAAAGTTTATGTATTGAATTTCCGATTCCCAAACAATTGTAAAACGATTGTTGTTTCACGTAATTAATGATCGATTATTATACTGTTCAAACTCGTATATTAGTGTCGGGTTTTGCAAATACTTATTTGGGCCTTACTTAAATATTGTTACTTAACCTTTCAAGACAATTTGAGCAAGGTCGGGCGACCCAAATATTATTTTGGGCCCAACCTGCTAAAAATAGCAAGTATTCGAGAATGGCATCCTAGACCCACTCGGGAGTGACCCACACGGCTAGTAGCCCAATAATATGTATGACGAATGTCAAAATAAGTGATATAATGATTGGAGAAGAATACAAATACCTATAGCCCCATCATTGACATTATTGAACTAAATAATGGGAGTGAGATTTTTCCTTCTATGATGTCCATCAAATAAATTATTGAGATGAACCTACACATATTGGAGATCAATAATGTGATTAAGGAAGTTGACTTGTTCTAAATAAATTAGGATGAGTGCAAAAAGACATCTTTGACAAAAGATAAAACAATAGGACCCATCTTTCCATTTTCGGGAGTATTGGTAGATATTTTGGACCTCAAATTGATTGAAATCAATTGGGGAGCATTCCATGTGGATTGAGTACCTGCAAGACAAAGAAAATATGTGAGAAGACTCACCTTGGCCGCACCACATGGAGAAGAACTGCACATGACACAATTGAAATCAAAATTTGGGGCCACCATCACTATTTTCGCACAAACTGGTGTGCTGTTTTGTCTCCCTTCATTATGGGAGTTATACTCATCCAAATAGCCTTATTGAGGTTTCCTTGGATAGCCTTTGAAGTCTAGTTTCTTATTTAAGTGGTCTCTGTTCGAGAAGGGAGAGTTTATCCCACAAAAACCGAGCTGGAGTGAACTGCTGTCTGTAAACTCGAGCAGTGAGAGTGCTGAAGCTGTTTGGTTGATATCTCGAGTTATACCAATACAATTAAGGCGAGTAAGATACCAAAAGAAAGCTATCAAGACGGGGAATCCGTGAAGGTCTGATTTGCATCAATCGGAGTAGTGGAAGGCTTCCAAATTGTCCGATCCAAACGCAACCTCGCAGAAACGGATCTACACTTCTAAAGTGAGTTGTTAACCCCAAAACCTTTCCTTTCATTTTCCAAATGATATGAACGATTGGTGGAACTATTGTACACTAATCCAAGTGTATAATATGTTCTTATAAAGTTATTTTATTGATGTAAAGGTTAGATACTAACCTAGAGCAAATCTTGGAAAACTAGGAAACGAGTTAACCGGAAAACACCCATTCTAGGGGCTGTTTTCGTATCAACGTTTGGGGGTTGAGATAGCACTTTTTGGAGGCTGTTTAACACTCATATTTAAGCAAGGAATCAGTTCTTAATCCACCTTGGCCAAAGCATTGACCATTGGATCAAGAAGGAAAAGTTTAAAGCTCAATTAAGGTGAGGATCGACATCTAGTTGCTTACAACTTGTAGGTTAAGCATGAGATTACCTAAATGCCTTGTTAGACCCTAGATTTTGATGAACCGTTTTGATGATGCCAAAAGCTTTTGTTATCCCCCCCACTATTGTAGCATTATTATAGGTTTGGAAGTTGTAATAGTCTTTGTTCTCCTCTGTTGTGGCATCTTGCAGATGACTAGTACTAAGAAAATTATCTAGATATGTCTTGCTCCTTTTTATATAGTTAACAAATAAATATGACTGGAAAACCATAAAATGCAATAAGGCAATACTGTATTGCCTTAAAAGGATATCGTATAAATCCAACCAGTTAAATTTATTTGTTACACACAATAACATCTCGTACAAATGAACTATCTATTTTAACTGGAAAACAAAATGCAATAAGGTAATTTTACCTTAATAGGAGTTGATATCCTACCAGTTAAATATTTAGCTTATCATGTTCGAGATACTAGATAAACCATACACTCAGAAGAAGAGTTATTGATATTCTGTTCACTACAACAAATAACAATGTAAATTCTATATAACAAATAGAACACACTGGAATTCAAAATGAAATAAGGTAAAGTTGTCTTTATCTTAAAAATTGGATATTTAAATCCAACCAGTAAAGTGTTATTTGATATATAGATAAATCAAAGTGAACAAGAATATTGATTAAACTAACTGGAAAACAAAATGCAATAAGGTAATAATTTTTACCTTAAAAAGGATTTGGTATCCTACCAGTTAAGTTAACAAGATACCTGCTTAAAAGTGACAAGAATTCCAATGTACAAACTATGTATCAATTAAACATACTGGAACTATAAAATGCAATAAGGTAAAAATTATTTACCTTACATGGATATTTAGATCCAACCAGTATAGCCTTAATTTGATATATAAGTTTAATCATGTCACTTAAAGAAAGAAAGTGATTAGTAAAATAAGTGACTGTGAAATTTGTACCAAATAAATTGTACTGGAAAGAACAAAATGCAATAAGGTAAGTTTACCTTAATAGGATATTTAAAAGATCCTACCAGTACAAAATTTATTTGATACAAAATATTCTAAGTCACTCATTTTACTACTTCACTACTTGAGCAGGTTCACGCACTCAGCTTCACAAGTGTAGTTGCAAGACAAGGCCAATACACTCAGAATGCAAGAGCAGAGAAGACATAAGAATGGGTGAATAGTGAAGAAGTTTCAGAATAGGCATGCAGCGATAAGAAGACCTAAGGTATGGGTGTTATCTTCGTACAAAGCAAGTGGTCTTCAAAAGACAAAATCTTATCCTGCTCCAACACAAGAAGACGCAAGTACACAACTTTGGACGTCAAGGATTAAATCCTCTTAACCAACGGAGGAAATTAATCTACTGGAGATGCCTATAAAAATAGGCAGAAGCATGAGTTCAAAGGTAAGTCATTGAGTTCAAAGCAAGTGGTTCAGTCATTACACTACGAATATCCAGCAAAAGAAAAAGTGCTTGAACACTCTGCTTTGACTCATGCTTCACTAAGCTCTTAGACTAGATCATTCATTGTAACATTTATAGAGCTTAGGTTTTAGTTGGCGGTTAGAAACTTCTTGAATCAAATCATGTTGTTGTAAATCCTTAGGAGAACATTTGTTCGGATTCTAAGGTGTGGTTAGATAGATAGAGTACCTTTTGATCCCCACTGGATCATTTGAGAAAAGTCTAAGGAGTGAGTAACTTTGAGTGGTGTTATACTCATTGTGAAAAACCTTCAATCTAGGCCTGAGTGTTGTAATGGCTAGATTGGCACTAAGTGTATTGGGCTTAATACTTTAGTGGAAATACATCTGAAATAGGGTGGGACTGGATGTAGGAGGATTACACCACCTCTGAACCGGAATAAATGGTGTGTTGATTTACCTTCATACATACAGAGCACACACCAAACACATCTCATTAAAGGTTTGTAGTTTGCCAGCAGCATTCTAAGCAGTAGTCTTCATCGACTCTACTGCTTAGCCTACTGCTCAATAACTCACTCTCCTTGAGAGTGTTTTCCACTAGAAGTTGTCTTAAACTCAGAAGGTGTCTCAGCAGTACTCTGGTCTTCATCCTCCTGCTGAGACCACTGCCCATTCATACGTATCTTTCCAAACCCCATAACAAGCCAGAACAAAAAGCCATCCAAGAGTCATCCAGTTCCTCAGCAGTTGCCTCAGCAGTAACCTGACCTTCAGCCAACTGCCAACCCAGCAGTTGCCTGCCAGCCAGCAAACTGCCTGTGCAGCAGTAGCCTAAGCAGTGACCTTCTCACCAGTCAACTGCCAAGCCTACTTCCTCTCATAACCAGTCTAAA